TTGTGTGATTTGGAGTTTTTGTGAAGGAGATTTAGGTATTCATAGTTAAGGTGTCGAATTTGTACCTACTGTCACTCTTTGAAACATAACATATGCATACAGAGAGCAATGAAAGATAAGTAACTAGAGTTGGAGAGAACACTTTCTTGGCTACATTTTACATATACTTTTTGACAAATTTCAACTCTGGATGAAGGAGTTATAGGGCACTGAAGACAACACATGTAATTCAAAGGCAGTAAGTGAGTCATTTCATTGATAGTAAAGGTTGGAGCCATATCTTAAGTTTGTGGACGAATTTTTGGCTCAAAATTTCCATAAGTGTGAGTTATTAGGTTAAAAAGCTATAGATTAAAGTTTCATGGTATTTGAGTATTTATTTTATGAAATATGAAGAAAATAGCACGCAGGTGTATGTAAGCTAGAGTTTAAAGCTATTGTTAGGATTTTGGTGATATCTCAAGATCTATAACGAATTTGAAGTTGAATTTTTTTTGGTTGTTTTTGAAATTATATTAGTACTTCATGTAAAATTTAAGATTGTTTTAATAGTCCAATCATGAGATATAAGTTGTTGAAGTTTAGAAAATATTTCTCATAAGGATATATAAGGTTTTATGATACTTTATCATATATTTGGGTGTTTTCTTGGTACTTGGGCCTATGTATTGATGTAATTATTCTAAAAGGGAAAATATTATATGTATAAACTTGGTAATTTTACATCTTAGACTTGATTGAGCATTTAGTGGCAGCCAGAAGCTCAACGCTTTTTTGAGGCAAACTCTCTCTACCCTAACAACAGAAACTAAAGGCTTGTGGTTTGGTGGTGAATGCTAACGTAGTGTAATAGAACAATCATGTCTTTGAGGCCTTAAAACTAGTGTGACTATAACAACCAATTTTGGCTGCAGTTATATGTATGTTGTTATTAATAATTTTTGAATTTTTTTTGCCTTTGATCTTAGAGGATTTATAGCTTATAATGGTTGTTATTACAATTTTTATTAAATTTTTTTTATTAGTATTGCAGCAATTTGAAACTATTGTAGACTATTCATTTCGCTTGTAATGGCAATTCTAACACAATATATTAGATAGATTTACAATAGAGTGCAGACTTGGTTCTGTTCATTTTGTATTATTTCTACTTGTTGCTCACATTTTTGTTCTTTCTTGTAGTATGTAACAATAGTGGATATAGTGTAGGCAATACCAATGCAGTGCTATAATAGACATTAACAAACTATTTTAGTTATTGTTAACATCTCAAGTAATTGACTAGATGTGATAAGCATTGAATCTTAAGAACGATTTGCAAACTAGTTGGACTCTGTAGGATTGATTAGAATTAGTTTTGGATTTCAACATAGTCTCTTTCTTGAGCCATACACTTGTAGTTGTTGCACTATGGAACCAAAGTAAAGAGAGTCCAAGTTAGGTGGATTCTAAAGTAAGCAAATGCCTCAATCAAAAGAATCTCTTTACAAGGATATTTTTTTGTAAGGTACTATTTTATAAAATATAATTAGAGTTTGTTCAATTTGATATTTGGATAAAGTTGGATTAAAATTGAATAAAATATTATTCTTAGATAAAATTTATTTATAGATAAAAATCTATTTGTGGATAATGATTTATACTTGAATGATTTTTTATAGATGAATTTAAATAAAAAATAAAATAAATGAATAAAAAAATAAAAAATAATATTTAAAAATATTCATAATAATAATTAAATGATTAAAATAAAGATCCAAAAAGAAAAAAATTCATTAACATATATTTTAGGGATAAATTACAAAAGTGAATTAATAATAGAAGATTGCTTAATATTTGAATTACCTTGAAGAGTTCAAAGAACAATTTAAATTAGAATTTAATTAAGAGCTACAATATATTAAACTCACATAGTTAATTCACTTATTATAACCTATGCTAACCTTCAATTAGTAGAAGTGTAATTCTCTTACACTTGGTTATTTAAGTAAATTAAGAATGAATGGATTGAAAATTCGATAAGAGCTAAAATTCCTAAAAATTTTGCAATTGATTCATTGATTGTAAACTAGAATAAATTTCCAACTAGTGGAGGTTTATTTTAGCTCACAAAAAGATGTATCATCTAGTAGTATTTTGTTGTTAGAAGGTAAAGATGGAGAAGAGTATGAAGAGCATTCAAAGAATTGTGTTCCTTATCATCTTTGTACAATTGTTCCTTATCATCTTTGTACAATTGTATAATTGATATTCTTTGTTTTATATGTGGTCAGAAGAAAGGAGCTACTACCATGCTTTTGTGTAATCAATGTCAATGTAGATGGTACATGACATGTTTGATACCACGTCTTTTGATTCTTCCATCAAATGGTTGGATTTGTTCTTATTGTAAGAAGTCTCTATCTATGTCTCATCTCTTGATAAGGATTAAAGATTTCTTCTATTATGTACATTAGACACTTTGGTGGTCTAATTGCTACAAGATTAGTGTAGAAGAGTATAATTTGGCAATTTGACATTGTAGTATTCATCTTCAACAATATATATTTTATGATCCTAGTTGACCAAAAGGGCTCCTAATCAACTTGGGGGGGAGGGAGGAGGGGAGACGAGAAGGAGGCACTTGAAAGTATATTGGATGTGCATTTGTATTTAGTTTAAATTACATAATTTATGATTACTTTTGTAGCACTCATTCATAGTATATTTTATAATATTAAAAATTAAAATTTACAAAAAAATTATAAAATATTTTATAATAAAAATTTATATATCATAATATATAATATTTTTTAATTTTAATAAAATAATCAGAATTTATCATTTTTAAGGTGAAATAAAAAAAATCAAATTTTTTTAAAAAAAATTATGTAAATATATAAATTAAAGCACACAAAGAAAAAAATTCTAAAATTTAATAAACATATATTTAATTTTTTCAAATAAATTATATAAAACTATAATATGTTAGTTTCTTTTTATTAAACCAATAACTATTAAATTTATAAGAAAGTTTACATAGATAAAAATAATGTATTAGAGACATTCTTTCATTTTTAAAATTAAAATCAAACTTATTATTAAACATATGTAAAAAAACGTTCATCTAAATTTTTTGTTAAAGAATAAGTAATTATTAGTTATATAATACATTTATTTTTTGTCAACTAATAAATTCAAATATCTACATTATAAAATAAAAATAATTATAATAGATGCATGTTTATGTATATGTATATATATATATATATATATATATATATATATATATATATATATTGCATAAGTACAAATTAACAAGCACAAATATGAATATAAATATGTTTTTCTAAGAATTGTATGTTTTCTTTTAAACTTTTCTATGCAAAGTCTCTTGAATAAATTCAAACCTAAAAAAATAATTAAAAAATAAAAAAAATCAAAGTTTAACATCAAACAATTTATATGGATGTTTTTACTGAAGTTTATATTAAACTTAATAATCTATTTTAAAAATATTATTTTACATAAATTCCCAATAAATCAAGTAAAATACTTAAGTGTATATTCATATTTAAAATATCATTCTAAGATAATAGATTTTATGATTTGATTTAAAGACTATTGTGTATTTTTCATATTAAATTATTCACCTGTACATTCAATTATATATATATATATATATATATATATATATATCTATATGTGTATATCTCTATTAGATGGACGCCCCTCTTTTATTGCATAGATATCCCTATGCCATAAACCCCACATACACTATAAAAAATTAAATAAATTTAATGTAAAATACTCCTTAGATAAATTTAATAAAAAAAAAATCAAGATAAAGTAAAGAATTACATAAAATTTATTTTGAAATTTTGTAAAAGTTAATCTGAAATCAAACAAAAATAAATGCCTTAAGCCATAGCACACATATCTTTTAATGTAAATTTTATCCAATATTAGTTTTGGAAGAGGGCATGAAGTGGTGCGGTAGCATCAGGTCCAAGGGTGGAATAATGGAAAAACCTTTGTTGAATGCTAGGTGCTCACAACCCTAAGACCCCGTTTTTTTATAGTAGAATTTACACGCATGCATGTTTCCTGATAACAAGTTGTTAAAACCCTTTTTCTCCTGAGCTCACTCCACAAGGATCGCACACCGCAAGTGGGTTCGACAACAAATAGATAAAACCCCCACTTTTTGCAATTCATCTTTGAAGATCAGATGATTCCAACTCAAAAACAGATTCTTCACAGTTCCACAACATCAAGCCCAATTTAGTAATCCACGACTTGATGCGGCAAGTAACATGTAGAAACACAAACATAGATAACATGAAGTCTTGCAGATTGTGTGTAAGCTTTCCGATCTGTAATCCCAACCGACCAAGTGATCGAGTGCTTTGGATCGAGGCTGTGGGGGGAAATAGCACCGATAATATTGTGGTTTTGTGCCCAGTTAATGAAACCTGAAGAAGTTACTGTTCGCTTCGTCGCGGCGGAGCCAGATTTCTTCCACCCGGAATAAGTATAGTTCTGGGAGAAACAAGGAATTTACTTCGGCATGGAGTCCATATTGCGAAACGCGAGTCCAAAACGGCCAGATAGATAGCAGATAAAATTGAGTTTCAACCGGATTGGCAAGATGCATGAGGGGTCGACGACGCAGGAGATGAGTTTAACACTTTCAGTTCCAGAGTCCATCGGCAGGTAGGCACCAGCTAAAATAGCACGGTGAACTGACTGGCTGGAGTGCAAACTAATGGGAAGGTGCTGGAATTCCATAATCAATTTCCAGGACTTTACACGGATCTTCGGAGAGGGCTAAGCTCCCGCTTCCCTCCTCGTCACAACGGACGGCAATCAAATGGGGGCAGCTATGAAAACTGCTGGTCTATATATAACTAACTTATCGTCTAGCCTTTTGGCATCAGACGCATTTTCGGCAGGTTTCTTCGTTGTTTCTGCCTCTTTTCCATTTTGGCCCCTTGACTTAAAACGTATCCTCTTGGTCTCTTCTCCGCCCACCGCCTCACCTCACCTCCAAGCGTGACCCTTGGGTCTCTTTCTCGCACACTTTCTTCTGGCCATGTTCGTCGTTGAGCATTGAAAAGAGGGTCTTGAGAGAGTCCCTCCTCAACGGCGATGTCATTTTTCGCCGAACCGGTCACCAACCCTGAGAACTCGTCGGTTGTCGGAAGTTGGAACTCGGAGGTAGTGAGAGTGGGCTTGGATTGAGAGAGAGATAAAGCGTGGGACGTTGGGTGTCAGATTGCTGAGAGTGGGGACCCTAGAGGGGTGAGTGCTGAGCCAAGGCTTGAAGGTTTGGAATGCGGGGAGAGTGGTGAAGAGAGGGCGAGAGTTGTGGAATTTGGTGGGAGAAGTGTAGTGTCGGAGTTCGCTTCGCTGGGACGTCTTCTGGGCCCTAGATTTGCGTGAGCGCAGATGTTGTGGCTGCGAGAAAGTGATTGAGTTTGTTTTTATTGTTTATTAACTCATTTATTTTATTTCTCTTGTAGAAGTTGAAGTAGCGCACGTCTAGATTCATTTTATTCAAACGTAACACTGTTAGGACCAGTAATTGTTGATTTTAGCAGTAGACGGAATGTTCGAAGATCCGTTGTTGGCATAGAGGGAGTTGATTCGGTATTCCGGAAGAATCGTAGTAATCAACATGTGTCAGAGAAAGGGCAAGGAACCTTACAAAGCTGCAAATCGGCTCGTCGGCACAGTTGTGAAGTGACTTGAACCAGCAGCGTCAATCGTCTACAGTAAACTGGGAATGAAGATTGCATGCAGAAGACTACAAGCAACCATGTCTGACGATGAATCCCTACACGTGATTGGGAACACTTTGCAGGGAACCACCAACCAGATATTACGCAGCTTGCCGGACCATCTAGCCATGGAATGTCTCTCCCGGGTCCCTCTCTCCACCCTTCGAAGAGTCAACAAGATATGGCAGAATCTCATCTACGATCCTTACTTCCAGAGTCTCAGAGCGGCGAACGGAAGATCCCAACTAGACTGGGTCTATACATTGGTGCAGTCGCAGGATTTAAGCTTTAAGTGGCAAGCATTCGACCCTCTGTCGGGTCTGTGGCATGACTTACCTCCGACGCCCCGTCCAATGGAGTTCCAGCTCAACAATCCTGGCTGCATTGGCGTCTCCTACTCCGTTCAGTGCGCCAGCTCACGTACCAAGCTCGTCATGGTGGCGGGATTGAAGGCGAAGCAACACGATAAGAACAGAATGACTATGGAGCCAGCTCTAAGCCATCCTTACATATATGACACTCAGACGTGTCAATGGAAGCTGGGATACCCCTTCACTGTGCCTCGCAAGTGGTGTGTCTGCGGGGTAACTGAGGAGAAGTTGTACATCGCTAGCGGCTCAGGTAAAGACTGGGACCGAGAGCTGTCCAAGTCGGCGGAGGTGTATAACCTCAAGAGCGACAGTTGGAAGAAAATTCAGAATTTGTCCACGTCTAAGTTTAGTGGGGAAGCCATGACAGCCGTCTCGAATGACAACAAGCTGTACTTTGTGAGTGGGAGGGGCGTATTCTCCAAGGAAGGGGTGGTGTATAACATTGCAACCGACTCGTGGTCGGAAATGGCTCCAGGTCTGAAGAAGGGTTGGACCGGTTTGTGCGTGACCGTGAATGGGAAATTTTACTCGCTGGAGACTCCGGCCGGGAAGCTGAAAGTGCACGTGCCGGAGAAGGATTGCTGGGACGTGATCATGGAGGATTCGAGGTTGGGGGACGTGGAAGTGTTAGTTAGCACGAAGGACAAGATTGTTGGTATTGAAGGGCCAGGGAAGAGTGTGCAGCCAAGTGACAGGAGCATCTTGCGAGTGATTGACATTGCCTGCGAGACGCCGCGGATTTTCGACATTCCAATGCACCAGGGGAAGATCGTTTCAGTGCAAGTGCTGGCGCCAATGAGTCGCCGGTTGTAAAGATCAGGAATATGGGACTCGTTCTTTGCTAAATCATGTCGGCGTTGACAATACGCTTGCTTGGTACAGGCGTCCCCTCAAAGACTCGAAAAGCTATATTTGTGCATCGATGCCATCAGTTACGGCTTCAATTTACTCTTGAGAGGTATCTTACGATGGAGCTGCATCGAAACTGAGCCGATTACCGCACTCACTCCGTCTGAGAAACGATTGCCTCCTACCATGAACGTGCAGGTAGCTGCACAGGGCGATGTAACTAATCATCTTGCTCATGAGCGTATCTTGTCAGTTATTCTTTACAATCTTGAGTTAGACTGGTAGATGCTGATGTAGTGATTGTGGAGACGTTGTAGGTTTTAGAGCCTTCCACGATTTAAAGGAATGTACATTAGAACCTGTAAATTAGTGACCAGCCTAGAGGCCTCGCACACTGCCCATTCAATCTGAATGAAATGTTTTCACAACAAGAAGATATGTATTCTCAGAGTTACCGTCTCCTTGTACAGCTTGTGCTGGGTACGGTGCTCGGGAGATTTGTCAGTAGCTGTATGCTTCTTTACACCTCTTGCCCGATTCTCTACTTATCAACATGAACTTTCTTAGCTTGTGCGAAGATGCCTGCATTTGTAGTACCGAAGCTCCGTCAGGTCCATGCCCCTCTGGAAGAAGCTGTTACGTAATTCACAACTCGACGTTGTCTCTTTCCGACTTGGAAGAAATATAGCAGATTGGGACGTTGTTATGAAGGGGATCTATGCTAGATGTTTATCAAGGCCTTCAATGCACAGCTCAGTTATCGTACGTAATTAGATAAACTTCGTTAGTGCTAGTAGCCAACCTTCAATTATTCCTGATCTCAATTCTCATGAAATACTAGTAGTAAGACTACTTGTAAGTCACAGCCTTTGACCGATTGGGTGGATAGCTGGGAAAAGATAGGCGATGAATAAATGTCTGTAACTTACGTCGAACGGCAGTGCGCAACTGAACAAGATCATCTATAGTTCGTGAAACGGTACCTGGAAAGGCGGAGTAGGGATTTCCAGGTGTCAAGACACATGAGAAACGAAATGTTTTCGATCATGCTAAAAAGTGAAATTCTCTTTTTGTGGTGCTATTCAGTTACAAGGGAGCATGCTTTCACGTGCTGTATACGTCACCTTAGCCTGGAGTTGTTTTAGAGCAATAAAAAGTGAGAAAGTAGTATGTGGTGGAGAAACGCGATCTGAAGGTTCTGGCTCAGAGCTATAAGTAAGACCAACGCTGAACTGACGGCCCGTTTTCTGGCCGTCGGTGAATGTGGACCAGGTTTAGTTACAGAACTTTTACAGGCAATGACTAAGACAAACCTAAATTCAAACGAGGATATAAAGGACAGGATTTTCGGATCTTGATAGGTAAATCCTTTACGGAGGCTGCAGCGTTGCGATTTCGAAGCACACGGCTGCAAAAGCTGAGGTTAACCAAGCCTAATCGTAGTAACGACAACAATGTCGAAAGCAGATGGTGCTTTACACATGGAATCATAGTTTGAATTACTTCATTTTGCTGTCGTCTGGGATGCCGCAGGCTGGTACATAGAAAAAAGGTGAAGTTGCGGTTAAAGGTGGCAAATACAAGCAATTGTAACGGGGGAGCTGCACATTTGTCATTGGAACTGCGGCAGTGCGCAGTGGAAGGGCGACACCGACTTGGCTCGATCGCTACAAGGGAAGAAGAAAACGGGGGATGAATTGACCATGTGCCACGCCAATCTGGGCGTCGGTCCAGTTGAGACACTGTATCACGGATTCCAACCTGGTGGATCGCAAGCCTACAGTGGTAACAGCGAGCGGGGCCATTTCTTTCAGGGCGAAGACGAGGAAACTCAGTCTGTTAGATTCGTGTGGTTACTGAAGCTAGCGATAATGCGGATACTCTGTAAAGCACACTATTAACGTTGGTGCTTGCAAATCATGACGGAAGGAAAGGTTTTGGGATTATTTCTTTGCAATTGAGAGTTTGTACTTAAGGTTTTTCAATAAGAATTTTTTTTCCTATTTTTATTATTGATATTTAAATTTTTAGGTATCATTAACATAATTTAAAGTTTTAAAATTATTGTATTTAAATTTTGATTTTGTATTATAATCAATATATGAAAATGCAAGGATTATATCTATTTAATTTTTTTAAAATTCGAAATTCCAATTTTTTGTTTTAAAAAATATATATTAATATTCAAAAATAGTTTAAAAGTTTTAAAAGTAATAAATATTATTAAATATTATAGTATTAGAAATTTTTAATTTATTCTTTTTATTTCATTATAAAAATATAAAAATATTCAAGAAGATGTAAGCCAATGTGATAAGTTTTGGAACTTCATTATTATTTATTTTAAATATTTGTGAATTGATAAGAAATCTTATTAATATAAAATTAATTTGGATAATTTTAGAAAATAATAATAATAATAGTAATAATAATAAACTAAATTATAAGGTACATCTACAAAAATAATTATAATTATAGACACAAATTAATTATAATTACAAAGAGAGATACATCCACAAAAATAATTACAAGTTAGGGGCATCAATCAAAATGATAACAAAGAAAGATGCACCTTTAAATTAAAAATGATTACAAAGAGAGGCACACCCACATAAATAATTAAAAAGAAAGAATAAATAAAAAAATAATTCAAAAATATATCAAATTCTTTTCCTCCTTAAATACAATTCTCTTCTTTAATTTGTCTTGTTTTTCTATGGATGATTGAGCAAGCCAAAGGTCATCAAATAAAGATCAAACAATGATAACTTGGAATAAATTAATTATTGGAATAATATTAATTACAACCAAGAATGTCCATAGTACTATTGCGCCTACTTTATACCAATTTAGAACTAACAAACTTGCATGCAATAAGGATATTGATATATATATATATATATATATATATATAAAAAAAAAAAAAAAAAACACATGATAAGATTACAAACAGTAGGTGCTTATTTTGTATTGTAATCAATAAGTGCAAAAATAGATTGTTTTACCTTATTAAATTTGTTGCTCATGTGCAAATATGCCCAACTTTTTTAAAATGCTTTTGTTTCAAAGGCAAAGAGCTTGTAAATTTTGTTGAACCTCATATATTATATATATAAGGCTTATAACCATGCAATATCACAAACTAAGGATATACCAAGTTTGGAGTAGAAGTAATATATATTGTTTTATAGAAGAATTGTAGGCTGCATAGAAAGCATTTAATAGAAGATTATAGTTTGGAGTTTCAAAAACTTGCGCTACTACTTAAGAAATTGGCCACGAAAAATCCTAATAGCATAACTACATTTGACAAGGTTAATTGGCAATAATTTGTTAGAATATTCATTTGTGTTATAGATATAAATATTTATTCTAATATTTATTTATATGATTAAATAGAAGTAAATAAAAGTAGATTTATTTCATATATTTCCTAAAGAAGCTTTCTAAAAGTTTCATAGATGTTATTTTGATTTTACATATGTTTACAATTGATTGGTAAGCTAAAAACTTGGTCAACAAGCTAATTACTTATTGATAGCTTGCAGAACAAGCTAACTATGTGGCATACATATAGAAAACTTACCTTGTAAGTTAAAATATTTGTCTTGCAAAATCAACACGTTTTAGAGGTCTTATAGGATACTACCATATAACTCCTAATTAAGAGTATATATAGAGGTAAGAGTGAAGCCTTCTTCACTCTTATCAATACCTTTCTAGTCCTTAGTCTTATTTCGAGACTTTCTAATCTTCTTGTCTTTTACAACAATCATTCTAGTTTAATACTATACCATTTTTGAGTGACTTTGTAATTGTTTTGAATGACACAAGAGTATACTGAGGATTTCTCTCTCTGAGCTTTATATTTTTAATAATTTGATAAGAGTGCAAACTCATTGTTGTTATCTTATTTTAGAAGTGAGTGAATTATCCCACTTTTATTGTTGTATTTTGAAGGTTGTGGATTATCCACCTTTAAAAAAATTATTTGGTTTTCTAATATTGATATCCTCCTTAATAAATTTTCAAATATTTTTGATCTTAAAGAACTTATTAATATTCTTAAGATAGAAATTTCATGCATTACAAACCAACCATAGAAATACTAATCCTACAATTATGAAAGAAGTTCAGAGTCTATGTCAAGAAATTGTACAATTGCAAGAAGAAGGTAAATCAACCTTAAAACTAAATCGAAGAAGTTTTGCTTCTTTAAGTATGACAAAGATAAGGATTAATGGAACAAGATCAAAATTTTGAAGATTTTTGCAACAAATTAAGCTCTATCTAAGGTTGCATCCCTTTCAATATCTTGATGGATTTACTCAAGTTTGATTCATAAGTGCTCATCTATCTAAGAGTGTCTTTTCTTAGTTTGTACCTTTGATGGAAAAGGATTTACAACTCTTTTATGATTTGAATTCATTCTTAAAAGTATTTATGGCCGTATTTGAAGAAAATAATAAAAAAAGAGAAGTAAAAATCAAGCTCTTATCTTTATGATAACGATCAAGATTAGCCACTATATATGTTGTTGAATTCCAAAACCTTGTTTGCGACATAGATTAGAATGACAAAGCCCTCATCAATCAATTTTGATATAGATTGAAAGATAACATCAAAAATTTGTTATTGACAATGCGAAAAGTAAGATCTTTAGAATAATTTATTGTTGAAGCCATTATATGTGACAATCAATAATTTGAAAGGAATTAAGAATAAAGACTTGATTAAAGAGGAACAAGCTAAGTAGTAATGGTAATTTCTAAGTTTTTAGAAACTTATTTATCGAGACAAGAATCAATGCAAATTAATATGATATATTTTAAATTCCTCACAAAGCAAAGAAAGACTTAACGCCGTCAAAAGGATTTATACTTAAACTGTAAAGAAGCTAAATACAATACTCAACATTATTTAAAAAAAATATATAATTAAAAAAATAAGAAGCATGATTGCTATAGAAGACAATGTATCAAAAAATAATTTTTTTCAGCTAGAATAGGAACAAAGTAGCTAAAATCATGTGCAACACCAAGTAAAGGTCCTATTCTCTCTTCAGATCTCTCACTTTCTTTTATAATAGATATGTATTTAGGACCTAAAAATAACCTATAAATTGACTACAATGAATTGACTGCACTAAAATAATACATTGACAAGAACTTGGCTAAAAACTTCATACGCCACTCAAAATCTCTAGCAGGAGCTCTTATCTTATTTATGAAGGAAAAACATGGATCTCTATAGATGTGCATAGAGTATCAATGACTTAACAAGATCATCATCAAGAATAGATATCTTCTACCTATGATTTCAAGACTTCTTGACCAATTCAATCAAGCAAAGATCTACATAAAAATAAATCTACAAAGAGTATATAATATAGTCTGCATTCAAGAAAGAGATGAATAGACGACTACTTTTTGAACTAGGTATGGACATTTCAAATATAATGTCATATCTTTTAAACTCACAAACGCATTAGTTGCTTATCAATATGTCATGAATGATGTCTTTTGTGAATTTATTAATGGTTTTGTTGTCTATT